GGCTTTTCACAAATCTTTTCACTTTATTTCTTTCCATCTCATCAGGTGTGATTTAAAAACAAGAGTCTGCATTTCAAAGGCCTCCCTTCTTGTGCCCATCAATGGTCTTCTTTGGAATTTATGGCTTAAGAAGAGGGAGACCTCTTGATTTCTTTACAAAATATGTTGATTAAAAGTTTGATAATATTAAGAGATATTCTGGGATTTTATTTCATCTAGAGAGCCTGAATTCAATATGGTTCACTTTTATAGACTACAAAACTGCTTAAACAACAGCCATTTAAATTACCACAAGAACAGGTGTTGTGATTTATAATGTAAACTTAAACATCAAACACAAATAGCCTTTGGGGGATGTTCAGAAGACAAAAATCATGCCCGAGAGGGCTTTCTCATCCCTTTCTTTCTGACAAAGTAATTACTTGCAGTATTGCAGCATACTATAATACATGAGGCTCTGCATTGCCTGTTAAAGCCCTGCAAACATATGTATTACCTGCTTACTAAATACTTGAGATTGTTTCTGCTCAGAAGACCTAAGGACTAGCAGAACAAAATTTTGAAGTAGGAACAATATTAAACACTATATATACACAATTCTTGTGTGTGCATGTTTATATATATTTATGTTTAAAGAGATATATATCTAATCCATGCACTTTATATATATGGATAACCATGTACATGCATTTATATAGAATTCAAAGTATTCATTTAAATGGACAAACAGAATTGAGTTTCAGAGGTCTTTATTATAGAAGAACAAGACATGCAGATGAATGAGTGTACCCACATATGCACACACTCATATGCACAGTCTCTGTAGTCAGGTAGATGCCCATGATCCCTTTTATCCAGAATCTCTACGAATTCTGTACAATAACATAGATCTGGCCTCAGAAGATACAGTATGGAAGTTTTCAAGATAAACAGACAGATAAATAACCTGTTACAAACATATACTGCCAAAATGGAAAAAGAAGATTGATATTCAATTAAAAGTCAGGAGATGTAAAGAGCCAGTGAGTACTCTGGCTTATTCTAAAAATAAAAGAGAATTTACTTGTTTGCCTATTTTTTGTCCAGAAGTCAAGCTGTGTGTCCAGAGGAAAGGCTACACAGATTTCAGAGATTTAATTTTCCACAAGCACAGGCCATAAATTAAAATACAGCAATCCAATCCCATTAATAGTGCAAGAAAAAGCTAAGTGGCTGCTTTGGTTTTTGCTTTCATGAACTTGTGTCAAGCTCACTGACTTCAAAGAGATTTCCATTTCATTTCTACAAATGAAGAGAACAGACAGACAGAGAGTCTCTGCCATCCTCTGATGCCTTAAGAAAACAGAAGAAAAACATGCCTGTATCTCATTCGCCTAATGATTTTAGCTGCAAAAGGAATCCCATGGTCTGCAGACGACCCTCAGGGCAAGGGCTTGAGGTCTGTCACAGTATATAAGGCTTCTCCAAACCCACTCCATTATCTTCATTATTGTATACCAGGAATAAAAGGGGACTGACTCCTCTTCTGAAGTTCAAGTTAGAAAGGACAGAATGTTTCATGTAAAATAACATTGTGTGACTTCAGTAATAGGTTTATGCCTTTGGGGGCCTAATACTAAAGCTACATATAAGGATTTTCTGCAGAATTTGAATGAAAAAAAAAATGAGCACTGTATTAGCAATGAGAAAAATTCTACAAGTTTTAGATTCCCTGAAACAGTCCATGTCTCTGTGTCAGCATGACTCACTGTCAGTCATGGACTTTCATACAGCAAGAGCAAAAAGGCAAGCTGGGGGCGGGGGGGGGAAGTGAAGAGCATGGGGCTTTAAAGCTAAGTATAAACCCATAAACCCATATGAAAATCAAAACCATACAAATATGCAAGGAGGAAGACGAAGCAACAAGCTTTTGGAAAGTTCTTAGGAATGAGTAAGTATCATGGCTTCCTACAGGGGACATTAGCAAGGGCATATATGTAACAAAACGACATAGAAACCATTTATATGAATGGTGATGCTTCCCTTGTCAGCTCACGTGTGGGTACCTGTATGCGCTTACATATATGCATACATACGTGTATGCATTCATGCACTCTGAGCACTATGTTTCATAACACTGTAAAAATCCTTGTCCTTTATTGACAAAATTTACTAAGTATTAACTCTTACTTTCTAACAAACATAATGTAAGAAAACCATTTACTTTATATCAATAAAGTTCCTTAAAAATACTCAGACCTGTTATCAGTATTTTGGAATATCTCGCTTCTCCTCAAAACACATTTAAGAAAAGAAAGGTCCTCTCCCTGACTGATATGAGGCTTGGATCGAGACTTTAAGTTGTCTACCCCACCCTTCTCTTTTTTCTTGTTTTGAAGAAACAGGCTATTTGAAAGACTGCTTCAAAAGCACATTTCCCACAGTAATTCAGAAGACAATTTCAAACAATAAAACTAGAGCAAACATAGCCCATTGTACAAGTTAAATAATATATAAACTTTTGAGTACACAGAGAAATGGGAATCTGGCTCATATCTGGTCTTCGAAAGATTCACAGGAAATTGATTTAATTAAAACTCAGCTATTGGTGCAAATGTTTCCCTTTCTTCCCAAAGAGAAATAGAGTATTATATTATTGTTGTTGACAAAATGCAGCAAAGTTTAACCAAGATTCTTGGTTGTCTCCTACAAAGCTCCACAAACTAGCAAGACTAAAAATTATTACTGAAACGCACAGTGATCATACATTGTTGAATTTTTACCTACATGTACTACCAAAGATTCCCACTTGTAACTTATCTTATTCATGGGGAAATTCATTAATATGCTAATTACCTGACTAGCAACTAGTGATGACTGACAACTTTAGTACTACATGAAGAAGACATGAGAATAAGTAGATTTTCTGCTGGAAATCAAACAGAGAAGACACGGTGCTTGCAGTAGTACACACTTCTTTTAGGGAAAGAGACTCGTATTTGTGGAGGATCCCTAAGAACAGTCTTGCCATCTGCACCCAGAAATATATATTTTTTAATTAGCCGCTCTAAAAACAATCATGTTGGCTGAAGGGAAGGGGGAGGGAGACTTGTCAAAATGATGTATTTGTCCCTCACCACCTTTCAATGCTCTTATGCAAGTCTAATTTTCTTCCTAGCCAGATCACCTCTCTGGCCTCCTTTTGTTTCATGTCCCATTTCCCATTCTCTTCTAACTTCTGAACTTTTGTTAGTTCGCTTTTAAGGAGAAAGGGAGAAAAAAAAAACACCAACCCTTTCCTATTCATTTTTTCCTGGATGGGGAGTAAGCAGACATATGAATATGGCACCCTCATAATGACTTAACTAGGGCTTAATGAAATTTTCATTACAACCTGCTGTTCATTTTAATGGCCTTTGAAAGACAATAGAACAATGGCTAGAGGGAAGAAAAGATTTTCTGTTGCATGCATTTGCAAAGCCCAACATTCAGTTGCTCCCCCTCCTTTCTCTCTCAATCTCTTCACGAAGCTGTAGATCTTTTGTTTGTACTGTATATTTTCATTTTAGTAGAGCTGAGATAATGCACAGGCTCTGTAACCATTCTCATGTCTATCTATGGCCTTTCCTTAATGGAGTCTGTGCAGCTTGTACAACCTCATATTCAAAAGAGTATTTATACGTTGTCCAGAACTCCTTGTTCTTTCCTCTGACTTATAAAAGTCTGGTTTCCTTCCCCCCCACCCCATACCACACACAAGAAAGATCATTTCCATTCAAAGGCACAAGGTAGGTCATGGCACTGACCATTAAGTCAACGTAAATGAAAAATGAAATGCTATGATTATATGTAATATTCAACAAAGAAATGCTTAGACAAAGAATTTGTTTCCCAGCAGACCCTTACTGTGTTCCCCAGTCAAGAGAAGACTAATTTACAATCCTGTCAGGCTCATGTATGTGAGTGTAGCACACTGTGTTTGCATCCATATTGTCATTCCAGTATGCAGGTTGTCCTAAAATTTTCTTGTAGGTGTTGTCAATCCATGCTTCAGCACTGAGGTGGGCTCTGAGGGCCATGCTTTTAAACATTTGAGATAGATTTATACAACAGGATAGGTGGGTGTAAATGAATATGAAGTATAAGGAATAAGGCTCAGCATGTTCACACAACATCAACTGGCTCACAGTCCCCTGGAAATCTAGCTGTAAATATGCGTGCTGGATACCTATGGAAAATATAGTGAGAACTTTATCTTCCAGTCAGGGGTTTGACTCTGCCCCAAATAGGCAGGAATTGAAAATCTTCCTTAAAGGAAAAGCTGTTCTGTGGTTTCTCAGAGGCAAGATGTTCGGTCTTAGTCTCAGCCCACAGAGCACAAGTGGCATCATCACTGACTGGACATACATTCTCAAAAAGAAACTGATTCTCCAGAAATGATACCTATATGTCAAGGCTGAAACTTGCTGTCCAGACATAATGCAGAGAAAGCCTGTACTGTGTCTGTTTGTACAGTACCTGCACTACAACTAGAGGATGACATGATAGGACATGCTCCAGACAAAAGCTCTCATGAAATCCAAATTTAACTTTCTACCTTTCAAATAATGACATTCCTACTAGATAATTTCACAAAAACACTGACATTGCTGATAGCACTTCTTTTTGCTCTAGAAATGGGGGAGGGGGGAATACTGGTGTAAATGACCCCAGGCTGTTAAAATTATGGTGTTCGTTGTATCCACGTTGAGGAGGTTGCTGTGTCTATTGCAACTGTGCCAAAAGACTGTTATGTTAGACAAAGGCTCTCATTTGGGAAAAGCTAAAAATGTTAACTATGATGGGATATAGCTGAAATTTATCTCTAATATAGACAATAACTATGGGTTCTTTACTTCAATTTTGCTAGGAAGAAAAAGCAAATGGAGCAGAAAATGGGAAGATTAAAAAGTACACATATCCAAAGAATCTGGAGAAAAGAAAACAAAATGGAAAATCTTGGCCAGTTTCCCAGGCCTTACCTTCTGGCTCATTTTTGATGAGCTCTTCCATTTTTCTTTGCTTAAGGGTGTCTACAACATCCGCTAGGCTTCCTTTGCGCCTTTCAGGGGTTCCCAGGGCTGTGCTGGACAATGATTCTCCACTCTGACGCCCACCTTCTTCTGCCTTCAAGGGTGAGGTAGATGAGTTGTGCGGGGCAAATGAAGACATCACTTTATTGCCATCAACTTCCTGAAAGGGGAGAAAACCGAGATGAAACATTTCTTTCTTTTCTTAAGGAAGAAAAAAATAAAGATTGAAAGAAAGAACAATCCTTTGTTCTTTGAGTTCATCACTGTTTGTTCTTCTGTTGAAACCTTTAAAAAGGCATGCAATGTTTCAAAAGCACCCAGAACAAAGCCCATCCATAAAGCATAAACCAAGATTACAGGCTGAAGTGAACAAAGATCAGCTTGCAAGAGAGAAACATAAAATACAGTTTTTCCCTAATTGAGAACAAGTGTTGTACTCATAGGTTTCCTAATAACAATGGTATTGATTACCTTTAATTGTTTGTTCTTTTACAGCTTTCTTTCAAAAAAATCTTCAATTTTTACAAGGACCATTAATTTCCTGACCTTATAAAGTACTTAATGCCATGATGGCTAGTTGTTGTAAGAAATGAAATAGTAACCAAATATTAAATGCCCTTCGTCACATGACTTATTTTAACTCACAGTTCAAGTAGTTCTCCCATCTATAAAGGGTGAAGCTTTTGTTATCTGTTTCCTAATTCTCTTTCTATTCTCCTCTTCTATCTCATACCTTCATTTCCTGTAAAGACAATCTTTTTCACAAAGGTGGTCCTAATGACTTTCGCTAGCGGTACAACGGCAAAACTTTGTGACTTCCTGGAACATAGACACAATCCTCCCCACGTGAGAGTCCATAGAGGTCTACTCATTAATTTTAATGGAAACCAAAACTGGTTCCAGCACCTTCAAACTTGCCTTCATTAACGTGAAAGCCTTCTCCTTCACACCTCCTCCAACATAAAGCAATGTTCTCTGCATATATTCTTTTCCTCTTTCATGTCTCTTTTATACTCTACCCTTCTGTACGCATCTCTGAACCTCTTCTTTTTCTGTGCTAACATGTGTCACCTATAGCTTGCAAAACTTAGGGCAATGTCTCCAAACAAAGCTTGTTGCAGAGTACATAGACTGCACAATATAATGCTGCAAACATGAACAGTTTTTATTTTGATCAGATTCCCCACAGTTGTTTTTTCTTTTTCATTATCCCATTTCCTTACATTTTTGTATTCCAGGTGTTTAATGAATATTATTTCTAAAACAGTCACTGGACCATCTTGTGATCTGAGTTATAGACTTGGTTGAAAAAGACATCATAATTATAAAATTGTTTTCACTTTATAGGGTATGAAAGCAACACATACACAGTCTTCAGTGAATTGTGCTACAATGTTATCATTCTTTTTCCCCGAGTAGTTTTTGGTGTCTCTGGCTTAATAAACCCCAATATTTCAGCAAAAAAATGTGTCTTTTCATAAATAGAACACAAATTGCTAAAAACAATCACAATAAAATTTAAATAAAGCAACACAGAAGTTTTGAAGTAAAGAATGTATTTGTTTTCACGGACTACATCATTTTGGCAAAGAGATTACCTTTGGTTAAGAAAACTTCTAGCGCAAAACAGTTTTGAGCAGCTTGAATGTGTTATACTACTGAATAAATTCCCTAACAGAATCGGATTTAACTGAGATTACAATCTGGGCCATCATATGCCCCAAAAGCCAAACCCAGCGATGATAATGAGAGACTTTCTACTGACGTCAATGAGCTTTTGACCAAGCCCTAAAAAATTTTCTGACTCTAGTCAACAGAAATGCTCCTTTTTTCCCCTGCAACTCCCTCCATTTTTTGTTCTGCACTTGGAAAATTACTAGTTGCTAACAGTGGACATAAAAAATGAGTTGGAGCCGAATGTAATTTTTTTTCAGCATATACAGACTTGAATAAACTGTTTTTTAACACTGATCTAGATGAGCAAAATAGTGAACTTCAGCATTACTTCAGATTTTATCTAGCATTCAAACCCATTATCACCAAGTGGCAATTTTTTTCCCTACAGACAAGGCCAAAAGAGGAAATATATCGAAAGCTACTTTCTTATTCACACTTTGAAGAGAGATAAGCCAAATACCATCCTTACTTACAGTTCTTAAATCTACCTATACCATCAATTATTTATAGAACAGTACTGTTACTAATTTTACTAGGAACTAGTTTCTTGGTTTGATTCCAAAGTGATCCCCAAAGACACTCACTCATGTTTCTGTGTGTGTCACACACTGGTCACAGACACAAAGCACTTGCAACTGCTGCCTAAACCTCAGGAATCATCATTGATGTTTTCATGTACATTTTGGGTCCATGCAAGTGTTTTTATATGTACAGGTATATTCTGAGTATAAACCAAGTTTGTTTTAAGAGAAGAAGCATAAGAACACAAGGATTGAATGACACATAAAGTAATATAATGTGATTTTCAAAATCACAAATTGCTTGGCATTCAAATGGAACCCACAAGTATTTTCAAAACTACTGAAATGCCTCTGACTCTTTTTCTGCAGAAAATTAATTGTGAGGAGGAAAAGACAAGAGTATAGTTTGTGGGTAAAGCATCATGAAAGGATTCTGGATACTCAACTCCTTCATCCTTCAAATGTTCTGCATAACCATGGAAAACATCACTTTTGTTTCTGCACTTCAGTTTCCTACTATCTAAAATAGGCGTAGAAGAAGTAACTTCTTATATTGTATAGGTCCTGGAACGATAAACTCATTAATAACACAGAGATGACCTGCTACTACAATGTTGTCTAAAAGCATTTATATAGTACCACAGTTAAGAAGACTTCATAGCTGCACATAAAAAAGGAAAGGGAAGTGTTCTACAGAGGTGGTTTTTTTTAAAGATAAATTATATATTAAAATATACATCTAAGTAATCATCTCCAAAAAAAAAAATATTTCCTTAGACTGCTCTTGTTAGGTGTTCATGTATGCGGTGTTTGCATATCACATACATGGGCTATTTATACACTTGTGGGATTTAAGATTCACTCCACTTAATCAAAACACATATACAGTAGGGGAACAGCTGCAATCACATCTCAGTGGGCTAAATTACAGTACACCAGTGAATTATTCATTCAAAAAGATCTGTAGCAATCACACATTCACTGCGTGATTTGCAATCTAAGAGGAATCCTCTCCTTTCCATACCAGCGGATCAGTGCACACATCAGCTACTGCTGTTGATGAGAGTTCAACATGTATCCTCTAGCACACCAGCTCGAGAATCTGTCTTCCCCATTTCTCCATGATCTTTTTATTCTGTCATTCAGAACAACAATCTGAAATGCGCAACTGTTATCTTGGCTTTCGCTTTATATCCTGTTTTATTTTGCTCTTTCTTATGCCATTACTGGAGAAAGTGAAGAACTTTCAATGGTTCTGGACTTCAACTTTTACCACGTAAAAAGAAAGGATACTTCCCCATAAAACCTATTCATGTCAGTGGTTGCATAAAGCTAAAAAAAACCTCTAGGAAGAAAAATTGTCTGATATTACATATGAGAGTTTAATTATCCCCCTGAAAACACTCAGAGAAATCTTTAATGGCAAGAAAGATACATCAGCAACAGTTTAAAATTAATCCCCTGAGAAGGAAGTTCCCTCACAACAAGTGAGGTTCCTTTTTTGAAAGGACAAATTCACGTGACTTTTTTCAGTTAATTGAAAGAAAAGCACCAACACTGCAAAGAGTGGTATTCAAGAACCTAAATAACTACACTACTGCAATTTTGAAATTAAGTCCATCGAGACATAGAGAAGACCTCTCAGTCACCAAAACAGTGGAAAAACTGACGCTCCTTTACCAGAGAGCTGTCTCTCTCAGCTGGGCAGCCATTTCACCTGTTCAAGTTTGATTACATTCCAGCCTCTGGCACTGTTAATCCTGGTAACAGTTTTATGCAGTTAGCAGCTGCTTCATGGATGGGGCTCTATTGTTCATTTGCATTGCGAATTGCTCTGCTAATGTGTGCTGGCACATTTCGTGGAACTCTGAGCTGGGATTGTACTCACCAACACCTGATGCTGCTGCTTCTTGCTTTCCCCACTTCAGAAAGGCAGACAAGGACCTACACAGATCCTGCTGAATCAGACACCCTAGGCCCTTCTTTCCCCTCTCAACAGCAGTAACAGAAAACAGGATTGGCCCACGTTTCACATCTTCTGCTTCTGTTCCAAGCTAGAATCCACAGGAAGACTTGTTCATTTACAAGAGAGTTGCCTCTATATTGCCAAACAGCTTTCTACCTATGGAGGAAATACCTCTTCCAAGGTTTAATGATAAAACAGGCTTCTGCTCTTTCAGGATGAGGTCAATAATCTTCCTTTGTTAATCTTGGGCAAGCTTTACTTAATCTAGCCCCCTTGTCACCTTTGTGATTGACAGGAAAAGTCATGTCACTGGACAATGGACTTATCCTCACTGAGCAATACCTTTCTTAAAGATTACACAATGTTACCCTTGCTCTCATAAAAAGTGCAAACATTTTGCAGTTGAAAGAAACTATTCATTCCAACTATATCTTTCAAATCGTCTCTCCATTTCCAGGGTCCAACTGAGGCCTATTTCAGTTCAACAGACAGACAGGGAAACACTTCATGAAAAGAAACAGGTTGTACTTGGTGAGATTTCCAAAATACCTCTTAGCGCTTTAAATAGATATCATCATCTCCTTCCTCATCTAGACATGCACATTATTCCTATCTGTAATTAAACTCAGACAGAAAACTCTCTTCTGTGACATTAAAATTTTGTCCCAAACCAACCAATAATGGAAGCAGAAGAAAAGTCAGAACTAAGTCTGAAACTGTTAATTACCACCATATGGTATGTAAGGAGGCTGCATCTGCAGCAAAAAAAAATTATGAGAACCAAGCTTCTGGTTTTGTAGCCAAAAACACCTGGAATAAAATACTTATGTCTTTAAAACAAGCACTGGTATTGTCTGATTTTAAGAAGGCTGTGATCCTAACAGCAGCCTAACAGGTTCTTTTTTTCGAATTTGGAATTTTGCCCATACTTTGCTCTTTTAGAATGTGTAAAGAAGACACAAAAGCAAAATTTTTGCTCTGCTTTCAATATTACAC